TACAGAAATTTGATTTTGCGAGTTATGGAAGCCCTTCACTGACATCAAATGGTAATTATTTTGGGAGAATAATTTATTTCGTTTACGATAGTACCTCGTTTATCATTTTAGTCGTTAAGTTATTGACACGACGATGTTATAAATGTATCGATCAGTGAATGTTGCGAATAACAAAGTTTACAGACAAAACTGTCTAACAAGTTTGTTTGAAGCACTGCAACTTGATTATTTACCAAGGATTACAATCTGGACTTTAGTATTTCTAGGTTTTGTTTTGAAATGACTGGCATTGTTTGACAGTTAGAAAGTTTAGCATTAAGGTGGATGGGTAACAAGACAATGAAACCTGTATTAATGTCGAGAAGATTTTAGTAGAAGTTTGTGGTGGCTTTTTAAGTTAATGGATAAACTTACTAATGTGTCGTAGAAGGACGGTGAAAGCTGCGCAGATTCTGTTCTGTTGTCGCCGCAAACGGTCCCGAATTCGGACGCATTTAGCAAGTCTCTCTCCTGTTGCTTGAAGTCTCTCCTCCCATTCGACTTTTTGCTCCCAAAGTTCTTTGATATCTATTAAAAATATTTTAATGAAATAGTTGCAATATTCAATTTTTTTTTTGTAAATAGGAATAAATATAATTCACATTGAAATTAAGAGTATTTTTTTCTAGAAATACATAAATACATAATTCAGTCTAATTATAATTTAGCCTGAAGTTTAGTTCAACGTAAAAGATAACTTAAATCTGGTAAGTAATTCGAAAGGTCAAACCCTGAAGGCATTATTTACGAAATGAGAGTCAAAGCTTGGTAAGGTAGAAATATATTAGAATTAGTTATTGGAAATATTGGATAAGACTTCATTGTAACAGGGTTGTGTCGGTAACAAGTAAGAGTACCTTAGCATATTTATACACCCAGTTTTTAATAGATTGCTACTTAAAAGAGTGCCTAGTGCTTACGGTGACGCGCTCGAAACGTAACCGTGTTTAGGCCTCTGATTGGTTGCTTTACTTGAAGCCGGCCAATGGGATCGCCGAACGTCATAAACTTCGTCGCTTGCATTTACGTAAACCAAACTCGCACTAGACACTCTAATAACACTTTAAAGTTAGGTTATAGTGAATTAAATTTTATGTGATTATTTTATTTAATTATTTTTTTTCTAAATATTCGAATCTGAATAACCATTTTTGAAAATGGTTATTCAGATTCGGAATTAGGAATTTGGAATTTGGAATATTTATAATATCTATTTGAAATTTTTATTCCTTGTAATGTTTAGGACTATACAAAAACAGAAGTATACTGTGAGTGCCCATACACTTCTGTTTGACTCTTAGGGAAAAATACCTATTGTCCTGTTTCATTAGGATATCATGATCGAGTGACCCAGGTCGTGTAACCAAACAACATGCAGCAAAATGTATTCAATTGTCAGAAGCCAACTTAACTTTATGGTACAAATCAGCCTTGATTTGTTGTGGTGTCCCTCAATATGATTGCACAATCAATCTATAAACTTGGTAACCTGATGAAATAATTTATAAGGAAGAAAAACACATACCTAAAGCTTCCAGATAACTTCGTTCTATCGCTTCAGTTTTCTCTCCGCAGTTCGATTGGCAAGAAGTAAACGATGCTGACGTGGATCTAAGGATGGAGATTAGTGATAAATTAAATTAATTTCTAACAGTCTACGTCTGCTAACCATTGCCAATTTATAATTCGAAAAATACATTTATCCCCACCTTGTCCTTAACTCGATTTTTTTTTGTTTGATTGCTTTAATATGCGATAAGTTATAGTAGGCATTCAATACATTATTGTATTGAATGCCTACTATAACTTTTATTACGATACAATTTTGTATATTTTGACCCAAAAATACTACTCTCTTTTCTTCCCCGTACCTACATAATAATATGTATATACTTTTTTATATAGATGTTCTTAAAAATATTTGTTGTTGTTGGTCAAAGTCATCATTATACTGTTTAATCTTCATGCCAAAGGTGAGGACACAACTTACGTTAATTATAGCTTAAGTTTATTATACAAGTTTAATTAATAATAGCTAGGTAATAAGTAGCTGAAATTTGCTAAATATACAACAACTTGCATGCAACATGCTTCGGCACGAATGGGTCGGCTCGACCGGAGTGATACCACGGCCTCACAGAAAATCCGGCGTGAAATAACCACAGCGTTGTGTTTCGCCGTGTGAGTGAGGTTACCGGAGGCTCAATCCTTCCCCTCCCCCAATCCCTCCTAAATCCCTAAATCTCCAAATCCCTAATCCCTGAAAGGTCGGCAACGCACTCGTAACTCCTCCGTTGCGAGTGTCCATGGGCGGCGCTGATTGCTTACTATCAGGTAATCCGTCTGCTCGTTTGCCGACCAATTAAATAAAATAAAAAAAATACAACAACAACTTTAAAACAATACCTACTGACTACAGTCGATTGCACTCTGACCGCTCCAGTCTCTTTGTTTTGAATACAATTCGTCGAGTAAATCTTCTACCAAATCCTTAACACCTCGTTTCTGGGTACGTAAAATAAAAAATAAAATGAAAAAAATACAAGATTATAGTTACATTCAAGAAATACAAAAACAGATTTTTTTCGTATTTCTTCTTTTTTAATTCATTAAATGCCTTTTGTAGTTTAGCGATGACATCGCCCAGTCCAAAAAAAAACACAAATCAATATAACCTTATGACGAAATCAACATGAAGGAAATATGAAAACATTTTATGTTTATGTATATTTCAAACATGATATATTTTATATAGGATATGAATAAAAAACTGCAAAAAGAACTTAATATAAACTAAAGAGTAAAGGATCCAGTACGCATACGTTTAGAACAATAACAACCATAGGTTTTAATAAAAAATGACCGTCATAAAAGATGTTTGAACGAAAGTGGTGTAGATTTATTCAGCGCATGACCTATTTGCAAGGTCTTGATACAATCGGCTTAAAGGATTAATTCAAAAGATAGGAAGATACGATGTATATTAAACGAGATATTGAACATCAGACATGGAAAATAATCTAAAGAACGTATGTTAATATTTACCTGACTAATATGTATGTATAGGTATATGGATGTGTAAATACTATTACGCTTAATGTTATTTAGACAAAGGAACACACAAACTAAAGAACAGAGATAATAAAAGAAAAGTTTCAGAAAAAAAAAAACGTTGAAATGATGAATAGTAGGTAGAATGAAAGTAACTCCTTGAAATTAGATACAAGGGCAAAAAATAGTTTTGATATCTTTACTGCGCATAAATTAATATTGGATTTGTATCGTATAGCAATTGAGTAACTCAATAATTTTTTACCAAACAACATACATGCATAGACAAATAAATTTTAAGTATACAACTTTCTCGTCCCTAGCAAGCCTTCGATATATTATTTTTCCATTACCTTGGAATAACAATTGCGTACCTGAGAAGTATTCTTCAACAACGGCGGAGGAGGTATGGCAGATAGCTTTTTGTTATTGATCTTCGGAACCTTAATTTTCTTGGATTTTCTTCTCACAGGGCTCGATTTTTCATTCACTAAGTCGGAAAAATCCAATTCAAACCTTACGACTTTCAAATTTATCGGTTGCTGCACGCTTATCGTTTGCATATTGATTTGTTTTAAGTTATTGATAAATTATGATTGATTTATTTGTTTAGATTTCACAGTTGTTGATATTTTGGTTTGACCTGTTTAAGTGACTTTAGAAAATGTTCAAATAATCTTTGGTTTTATTGGACTCTTTGGTTACGTTACACTGTATTGTGCTTTATGTCACTGGATTGTTTGATAATTAAAGTTTTTAAATGTGAGCTGTTAATAGCAGTCGCGTCGTGAGTGACACAGTAGGGTGGGAGGTGGCCCGATAGTCACCCACTCGTTTGTGTCGGTTGGCTCCTGATAGTGTTGATAACGACTAATATATTCATTCGAATGCATGCTCAATGAGCCTAAGGTCTGCGGGCACTGGTATTTGGATTCAGAATTGGTTCTTTTTTCACTGTATAATGACGAGAGAGAGAGAAAGAGAGAGAAAAACATGATAAGTGAGGCATACAGTACCTAGTAATTTCAGTAAAACTAGAAGAGAAGAGAGGTATACTAAAATATGAGTAGGTACTCTATTGAAACTCTTTTAAGTGTGGGAGAGCAATGCTTCGGCACGAATGGGCCGGCTCGACCGGAGTGATACCACGGACTCACAGAAGACCGGCGTGAAACAACCACGGCGTTGTGTTTCGCCGTGTGAGTGAGGTTACCGGAGGCCCAATCCTTCCCCGCCCCCAATCCCTCCTCAATCCCTAAATCTCCAAATACCTAATCCCTAAAAGGTCGGAACGCACTCGTAACTCCTCCGTTGCGGGTGATAATCCGTCTGCTCGTTTGCCGACCAATTACATAAAAATAACTCTTTATTTACTACGGATTATCCAATTATACATATCCGAGCGTATATAAAAAACGACATAATTTATTTTACACATCGTTAATCTTTTTATTTTCAGTGAAACTTATTTAGTGGTACAAAAATAGAAAACATTTTTTGTATACGATGTTCTTTATATTTTAAGTATGGATTACTGATAAAGCTACTTGTTTTTTGAAGCCCAACTTAATTATTGCAAGCCGATCCTTGAATTTTAATATTGGCATACCTATATGCAATCTATCATAACATTGTAACATATTATTCTAATGCTATTTTATAATGAAGTCCAATACAAAAATGAGCACAAATCGCTGGTATTATTGGAGCAAAAAACATTTCTTTCAATATTTGATACTTTTTCGAATAACAATGCAATTACGTTGCCAAGGAAAACAAATCTGTCAAGTTGTCACGGCAACGCCATTGTTTGTGGATCAATCGTCTGATTCTTGCGAAATTAAATACAATACTTCCGTTAAGATCGAGTGCTGTTGAGACGAGTTCTTGATACTTGGAAAGTGGAGAATATGGCTGAAGGACAGCTTCAGAAGCGAGAAGAAAACCTAGAGCAGTTGCAAGGACAGGATCCAAGTCTACCATCGCCTGCTCCACCAGGCCCTCACCCTGGGTTCTGTTCTGCGACGTGCACTGATAAGGAATCGGCTAAGAGAGAAATTGCAAAGCCAAATTTAAAGACTTCAGACATGTTCAGCACCTGCAATCTCCCCAAAAGATTTGAACATCCTCGTAAGTTAATTAACTTGTGTATTCGATTATTCACATCCTTACCTATACGTAGCTTTAGTTTTCACGTTGAATTAGGTCTTTGGGTTATCGTTCAAAATATAGTTATAGTTTATTATAAAAAATAACTGTCTGTAATAATTATTTCAATCATAAGTACACACAGATTCCCAATCCAATTCCCCTGAGAGCCTAGATGGTGGTAGGTACTTGAGTTTTTATTCTATTCTTGAACTTTAGGTGACGTTTTGTAAATTAAATTTCATATTTTTTTGGGTAATAATAATTGGGTAATACTAGTAGTAAAAATATTATAAGAATTTTAAAACTTGTCAAAATATGACCTATCGAAAAATAATTTGGATGGCGCGCGTAGTGAAGCGTCCCATTTCTTTGAATTAGTTTTAATTAAATTCGTCAAAAAGTTTTCGAAAACAGGGTTTATCAAATAAAATTTCATTCACCACTCGATCCAAGTTTACCAAGTAATTTCAGTTTCGTGGCCACTGATAGGTATAAATATAAATAATAAGAGAAAAACTTTTCATCCAAGTATTCAAATGAGCACGATGGAAATATATAAAATGTCAAAGTTTATTTAAGACTCGTGTAAATTTTGATCGCATTATTTTCTGAAGATATATTATCTTATAGGTAATGCATGAGCTTAACTTGAAGAGAATATAAAATAGAAGTAATCAATGATATAATAATATTATAATATCATTGAAAATCATTCACGGTAAAATCAATTGACTACCAGTTACATAAAGTCTTGGAAAGAAGATCCAACACCTACATAGTATAAGTAGAATAAATATCTTTCATAGATGTAGACCCACAAAATATACAATAATAAAAAATGTATACTGAGAAGACAGTTTTAAGCTTATTCATGGTAAGCAGTGTTCATTCAACTTATATAAGAGACGGTAAATTTTCATAACAAAAAATTGTTCGTCAGAAAAATCTTTAGTCAGTTGGCCTCTAACTAACCTTGGGTCCGGATTTCTGGACTAGGCCAGGGACAAACGCGCACTTAGTGTACAATAACAACATAAATGCTTGTCGTACCAAGTAAGGGGCCGGACGGAATATGGTTCATATGTATAATGAAGTTATGTATGAGCGAAACTAACTATGCCCTTAGCGCCATCCGGACGTATCGACTAAATAGACTTAGCAAAGTTTGAGAAAATGTTACTATGGGTATTGGTAAATTTTATGATTTGGTATTAGTTTTTTTTTTGGGTTAGGTCAGCAAACGAGCTGTTGGTAAGCAATCGGCGCCCGGCGTTGCCGGTCTTTTGGGGATAAGGGTTTCGGATATTTAAGGATTGGGAAGGGATAAGGAAAGATGGAGAGATTGCGCCTCCGGTAAACTTACTCACACGGCGAAACACATAGCAGTGGTTGTTTCACGCCGGCTTTCTGTGTGTGGTATCACTCCGGTCGAGCCGACCCTTTCGTGCCGAAGCTTGGCTCACACACACGTTTTCATTGTTCTATTATATACCTATGTACAAAGTAATTGCTGTATATATAAATATATATGCACATAAACATAGGTAGATATGGGTAATGAATCGAGTTATTATTTTAAAACAAATGCACAATTGCTGTGGTATTTCCCATTCTTTGGTGCGGTAGAACAATTGTTTTCATAAGGACGGTCGCGACAGGGAGGCGCCGGCATATGATTCGTGATGATGCGGACGTTTTGTCGTCACTCTGTCGCAAGCGTTACGCACAACTCATTCAAACGCAGACTCTACATTTACATATAAATATGTACATATTTTTTGTTGAATAACTTTTGATTTAAAACTAATGTTTGTACTAGTACATCGACGCTAAAACATTGTTCAAGTGACAGTTTTGACCACATCACGGAGTTTTTTAAATTCTCGTAGATTTATACAATACCTAGGAGCAATATAAAATTTAAACGAATTTTGTGCAATTCTGTGAATAAACAATATGTTTATATTGTTTATTCACCCCGATCCCGATAATGGTTTCTATTGCTTCACTCGCGTTTTGTTTAGGGAAAAACTAGATATTTTATACGCTAATCTAGGTCATGATTTTGTCTGTATAGCTGTGTTGAATATGTAAGTAGCGATGTAAATACTAATCTTTACATGTAAGTCCACAAGAGTAATCATTTAAGCAGGGAAAAGATTTATAGGCTTTTCAAAAAAATGTAATCTGTAACGTTACTATGTATTTCTAGTAGAATAGATAATTATAATTAGTTGCTGAATTACTTAAAGTGCTTTGTCAACGTAATAATGTCATTGATCCCAAAACAAAACTCGTTAAAAACAATGCGGGTACCTCCCCAATCAATAATGAATAAACTATAATGTAGCTTATAATGTAGCTTCGGCAATATTTCTTACCCGGGGATAACAGACGAGGAATAATTTATTATTATTATTACCTACTTTCAACTCTTAAATTCGTTCAATGAAAATATATCTTCACATCTTACTGGAGATTCTAAACCTTAGCACGTGCTAACTTACGTAATAGAAGCTGAATGCTTCTTGAATCCCGTATTTTATACATGAGTGAACACTTTCAATAGTTCCTCCGTTCTCGAGACTTTGTTCTGATATTGTATTCTTCATTTTATATATTGTACAGAAATTTATGACTAAATGAGTAACTTAAAAACGATTTGTATAATGGGATAGAAAAATGAATATAATTTGCAATCGAAATAATTGTATTGTACCTATGTAGTTTGACCATACTTTTGAATAGTTACTATCATTGAGAAATAATAAATTTATTAAAAATAGCGAGATACTAATATTGAATTATTTACGAAAAGCTGTATACAAGTTTTAATTCCGTAGATTCTTTTTTTATGTGATAGGTCGGGAAACGAACATACGGATTACCTGATGGTAAGCAATCAGCGCAGCCCATGGACACCCGCAACAACAGAGGAGTTACGAGTGCGTTGCCGACTTTTTGGGGATTAGGGATTTGGAGATTTAGGGATTGGGGGAGGGGAAGGATGGGGCCTCACATGGGGAAACACAACACTGTTACTGTGAAACACAAGTGTTATGTATGTACATATTATTATAAAAGTTTCAAGTCACAACATTATATTTAACAACTTCATATTCAAGAGCAGCGTGTATTTTTCAGCGACATCGCACAGCCAACGTCGGCGTGATGCACATGTAGTAGTTATTTTTTTGAAAATAATTAAGGTATAGGATTTCTAACAAGGCAATTTAGTCATTAACAACATATATAATAAGTTCCTACTTAAATTTTGTTTAGGTTTTAGGTCACCAACTTCTAAGCTATTAGTAGGTTTACTGTAGGTTAGTTGGATAAATAGGTAATAGTCACTTTTTAGTTTTAGGTATTTTAAATGCTAAATTGTTTCGTTATTTGTTGCAGATTGGTTCAACGGCTATGGGTGTCAAGTGAGCAAGCAACATCCATTCTATAGAACCAGTTCCAATGATTACGGATGGTATCCCCCAGGTAAATTAATTTGTATCCAGATTTCACTTAGTGTTTTTGATAAAAATGAATAATTTTTTTATAGCCTATCGTGTGTCCCACTGCTGGGCAAAGGCCTCCCCTTTTTCCTTCCAAATTTCTCTGTCTAGAGCGATCTCCGGCCAAGTTTGCCCCTCGTCGAATATATATATATATTCGACGAGGGGCAAACTTGGGGACAAACCTTAAAAATAAAAAAATGTTAGTCATGAAAAATACACAAGTAAATATATTTGTTAAGTTGACCGCTGAGATTTCCTTAACGAATAGTACCTATTAACGTAAAGGTTTAATAAATAAGTCTGAAAAAGTTCTATTTTTTTTACTTAATAAATTGAAATCCGAACTTCTACTTTCATCGGAGAAAGTAGAAGTAGCTATTTCTTATCTAATACAACCATAATAATTATTTTCTAATAATGATTAAAATTTTCCTTACATTCAAGTACAGCCTGTTTTTTTTTATTACTTATTTGCCAGTCTGTTTGTATCTCTGTATTATCGTTGCTTCCGAATAAATGAACTAATTTCGTTGTTGCTGATATTGATCAAAAGCTTGTTGATCGAGGTGGTGGTTAGTAATGTCTAATGAATTCGAATCTGCAGTTCGAGAGCTATAAATATTTAAGCTACAGCCGTATGAAGGTAGCATTATATAGCATTTGACATAATTAGTAACATCTTATCACATCGTCAGCCTTGCTTGATGTACCCAGCTGGGGTTGCGGGGTAAGCGCAATGAGGCACCGCGACCTCGGCACAGCAGGAGAAGGAACAGGGGGGTTTTTAGTCAGTAAGAGTCTGACACTCCCTCTCGCCCGGCCCTGGGCGGGAGAAGTCATTTGATGATTTTCCCCTCACAAAAAAAAGCCTTGAGGTACCCGTTTCTGAGCAAAAGATTCTTTTCACATGGAGATGGTTTGAGCACCTATCAATCGTCACGCTTATTCAAGGCGTATTGGCGTTTCTAAATGTATAATTAAGCCCAGATTTACTCACGATCACAGCGTCATCCACAAAGTCTTCGTCAGTGGATGGCGAGCAACGGCCACTCGCCACCCGATCAGAACCAGAGCTCATGCAAGTTATTAGACCTTCGTAGTTAGGGTCCACTAGGGCCGATTTCAGCTAGGTTTGTGGGTGCAAATACAATGATATACCGCGGCCCGGCCCAGTTTGGAGCAGGAAAAGGAACAGGATGATTTTTAGCCAGAGAGGCTGACACTCCCACCCAGAACGGAAGAAATTATTCTTCCATTTTCCCTCCACAAAAAATATTTTTTCACGATGTCCGTCTATGAGTGGTCTCTTAATTTAAAAAGTACATTTTGGTCGGAAAATTTTACATTGGGACCTTTTAGGTTATGCAACCGCACTTTCATGCAGGAATGCCTTTTCGCGCGTCTGGGCCACCAACGGTATACCTAGTCATAAAACGAATGGTTTTTTTTGCGAAGGCTTTTTTTTCCTCAAATTCCTTTCAAACGTGGTTTCGAGGTTTTTAAAATGTTCATCTTGTTACTTATTTTTTTAGGTTGGCATTCAGTTAGTTCTGAGTATTTTCCTCTGCAACAAACGTTTTCTGAGGGATTACGAAGATCGGGAATGTACCGGAATTATTCCCTGAACACGACAGCGGATCGGTCATACGTTTGAAAAGTGGTGATCATGCGCTTGATCGAATTATTTAGGCTTTTTTGCACTTTATATTATTATACTTAAGTCTGTTTTTCATACGATAACTGCTAAGTTAATTAGTTCTTAATAAATGATAAGATTTTGATTTGTTTTGTTTGTTTTTTTTATCAGTATGCGAGTTTTTCACTTTAATTTATTTTGCATGTTTGGCAAAGCAGCTAAGTAGCAGGTTGTTTTTGATTCCTCACTAAATCTTTTGAAGTCAAAATAATTCTAAAATATTTTCGTTTTACGTGTGTTATATGTTGTTTTGGACGTGCACATTTTTTTGCAGCTCACTTTACGTTAACTCGAGGTTAATTCTGTTAGATATAGGTGCGAGTATAGCTATAAAAGTAACACACCTTGATGCAAAATCTCTCTACGCTTTGGAACAGGATGAATTCAAATTACTCATTGATGGCAGTGCGCTACTTATTAACTAGAGCAAGTCTCCAACAATTCATTACCAAGTTTTGCATGCTAGTCACATTTTGTTGTAGTTTTACATGAAAATATACCTTTAAGAAGCGTATTTGCATGTTCAAGAACCTGTAGTATACACACGGTCTTCTTGATTGATAAATCTTCGCACATTTTTGTTCGCTTCAGTTAGAGTAATAGTCAGTGTAAATATCATTGGAAATGAAATGATTTTTTCCATGGAATAAATAAATAATTAATAAAAATATTAACATTTTCTTCATCAAATACGTTATCAACAACTGTATGATAAACCAGTGGACTTTGACCATGCAATAACAATATTTGGTACTTGTAAATGGTATGGCTATTTGCTAAAATATATGTATATTTCTAAAAATCTAAGCACTTAATACTAACTACGAAAATCCTTTTGTGATGTGGGCCTTAACCAATAGGTAATTATAAATATTTTCTTACAGGATACTATTCAGTGCCATCTGTGTTCTTCCCCGCGGGACAAACATTCACGAACAGACTCTCGGCAGCGGGCATGTATCGCAACTACAGCTTGAATACCGGCATGGACCAAGTAGGCTACCAGTAGAAGACATGGCAATATAGTTAATCAATTCTTAATCATTTTATATTGTAAAAAATTCATAGTAAAGATATGAATGTAATAGAAGTCACGTGCGTCAAAAAGTTACGAATTGCTTGGTAGCTATACATACGTTCTTTATTTACAGTCTCTACCAATAGATGGCGCTGTTTTAAAGACGAGATTATTACCTGAAAATTTTGTCGAAGTTATCGTTTTATGTGTTTAAGCTGGATAGGTACTATACGATTTGTAACACGGAGAAAGAGGGCAGAGGTGTGGCGTATTAATGAGGCAATCTGTAGTTAGGTCACACTCATACATGCACATGCGTGCACGAACACAAACGTACCTATTCTACTTTGTACAGCAGAAACAGGGTCGGATTAGGTTGATAGGGATTTAGATTTCCGTCCTGAACAGGGTCTTAAGACAATTCCCATAATCATTTAAATGGGACCCTGTAGTCAATCTGCCAAAAGCTTTCTCAATTATATGCCCTCTATGTAATGGCCAAAATGGCTTCGTTCCGTTTTTAAGAAGATAGTGTACCTACCTGCTCCTAGCACGTGTGACAAAGTTTTGGATCATTTTGTTTTATATTGTCTATGCATATAATTGTATAATGCAAGAGATCTCACGCATAGGTCGTCTGTAAGAGAGTTTTCACGCTCTGCACAAAATTTTACTTTTTATTAGTTTTATTTAGATAATTTATCTGTAGTAGCCATATGTTTTCGTTTTAAAGTAATTTTGATGATGTTAAAGCTCTTTATATTTTATGGTATTTTTACATCGATCACTAATAAAGAACTAGATACACAATCCCATACAAAAGTTTGCTTCAAAACTGTCGCCAACTGTATTTAGGTACTTATACTTGAAATAAAAATGCATTAATGTAAATTAAACCTTAAATGCAACTCATAGAGTTGTTTTTACAAAGTGATGTACAAAATCTTAATACTTTTTGCGACCGAAGCTCTTGACAAACACAAATCATAAGAAATTGAACCATATTCGCATGTTTTTAAGTCGAATTTACAAAGTGGCAAAAATAAGCAATAAAATTTAACGACTTCGGCTCACCGCTAGGACAAAGAATGATTGGAGTCGAAATGTCTCGTAAGAAATATATTTCTTTCGTATTTTATAATTTATCAAAAAAAGAAAATACGCAAATTAAAACGCATTACTTATAGTATTCTTTTCTATAGGTTTGTTCATTTATTTACCAATGAAACTAATGCATATAGTTATAATTCTTTTTTATTATTTTCGTCCTCCTTAATCCTTTCTATTCGAAGTCAAATAAAAAAGATGTAAAATAATAAAAAGAATATATATCTAAAGTAAGTACTGAAAATGTTGGCGTTATTGTTGTCAATTTTTCATATCGAACGGGTCTTGATGAAAGCTAAAAAAAAAAATTTCTTTACTGCAGTTAAAATTAAATCCACAGTAAAGAAGTATAATATTAAATAAAAACTATTTTTTAATAAAAAAAACAATAAATAAAATTAGAAACAATAGCGTCTCCACTAAACGGAACAGAATAAACCCACGTAAACCGAACAACTTAAGTGGTCATGCTAGAGAATGATTTTAAGTTTAGTATAAGTGTCTTTATAAACTGTGTGCATTATAACCCCGGTTTTTGAATACAATTTCATTTGGAAAAAGTTTTAAAGTTGATTTCTTAATAAAATATCAATATTTAAAATAGAATGATGACAATTATATAATGATAATATTATTACTTAACGAAAATATGAAATTCCATCCTTTTTTGCATCTTAGATGTGTGTGTTTTTGCAGTTTTTTAACGAGCACTGAGGCGTGTTTACCGTCGGAGCATTCGAGTGGTACTAAACTAAAACTACACCGCGATGTTGAGTTTGGTGGACTTTCAGTTAGGACATTTTTTTGTCACTGATTGTGTATCTAGTTCTTTATTAGTGATCGATGTATTTTTATCGTTAAAATGTTGTACAAGTCGTGTTAATGTTAGCTTCGAATAAAGATAAAAATAGAAGGTAAAAATATATAAATTTATAATATCTTGGAAACCTTCTAAAATATTTACTTTGAAATAAATATAAAAACGCTAACATTAATGATTTTTTTAAATTACATTTAGAATTTTTTAGTTTGATTTTGTAAAATCTATCATGAGGGTCTTTTTCTTCCTGCAATTATTGTATTAAAAACGTTTATAATGTCCATATTTTATTGTATTTTGTTATCGTATTTTCTTGAATCAAAATTCTTAAGAAAATAAGAAAAATCATTTGTTAAAAAGATTAGAAAATGACTGATATGTTAAAAAGATGTTATTGTAGTGCTATTGCACTTTGTTACATTTTACCTTTTTAAGAAAACCGGCCAACTCCACAAACAAATAACTCCTAAAAACGCTTTAGTTTCGTAAAGAAAATTTATAAAAGATCTGACAGTACTGAAAATGTAAATTAAAAATTGGCTCGTAAGGAGTTAGCTGATTTGCCAATTAAGGTATGAAATATTAATGTACCTAGTTAACTTCAATATTGTTTAGTGACACATTTTTCACGCGCAGGTAGATACTATCTATATAGTTAGTTAAATACAATTCAAAATATGAATGATCATTCTCATTTATAAATCAAATCACGCTTATTTATTTATTTAATAAATTGTATTACTGTTATATAATTTTCTTTTATTCTGTCTCTCGTACCAGTAAACGTACGGTGCAAAGCGTCCTGTTTACCTGATGGTAAGCTGTCGGCGCCGCCCATGGACATCCACAACTCCAGAGGATATACCTTTTTGCTGTTCACTTGCATCAGTAGTAGGATTGTCAAATATGCCTCGATATTTTTAGATAATCACTAAAATAAGTAGGTAGTAGATACTAACTAAACTTTACTATACATATTAGGTAAGTATAAATATTTTTGAAAAGTAACTAGGTATAGGTACATTTATTTTGAAAAAAAGGTTATTTTTTTCAAAGACGAATCAATTATAAGATTTCCATTACATTTACATAGTCTTGAAACTTGTAGAGCATTTCTCAATTAAATGGCAATGAATTTAGTGTAGATAGTATCTTAGGCTGATCTCAATTATTGGTAATTTTCTCCTATGGCGAAGAATTTCACTTTAGATAATATCATTCGAATACAAAAGGGAAAGATAGAAATAAAATAACCAGTATCGGTATTGACTTACCAAAAGAGGTATTTATTATTATTCATATTATATAGATTAACATGCATTCAAATTCCATTAACATATTCCATCCGAACTAGGGCATGGATGTCACTTTATTAACATTAATTTATTGCAAATTCCCATAGAAATTTCCCAACTTTATTGAGTTGTTGTGAGGGTCGTAAAATGGTACTTATTGTATACCCCCTAAGGTTGTACTAAAAACAGTTTAAATAGATAATTCATCCACTTTTATTGTGACACGCCATGCCCGTTATCTAGAAGATAAATCACGATAAATCGTTAGGTACATAGGTATCCCGTGACACAGGACGAATTCTCCCGCTATGCGACCTCTTTAACGATTATCCCCCACTTCCGTATTGAGTACATAACGTATAACTTGTTAGCAACAACAACAACAGCATTTATATTAATTTGAGTGTTATATTATACTCTTAACAGTTAACAAATGTCAAAGTCTTCAACCAATATATAAAAAATAAATTAATTATTCCTAAAAATAAACTATTACGTACTAAAATGAAATTCATAAGGTCCACTAAATATAATTGAATCTAATAATTAAATTTATTCGTACGAAATAATCGTAATAATTACATAATTGCGCATTATAGACACGTAATTAGTTACACGTACCTACATCGTGGCTATCGATACTAAGGATTCGTGTCAAAATCTAACTACCGGTGCATATCTAAACGAGTAAATTATAGTATATTTACCTAAAAGTAACCTGAGTACTATATGTGTACTAGTATGGCAGTACCAGGGCGCCAACAACGAAGGGCAGCTTCGTATAAAAATGTTATTAATTAATAATCTCAACGAACCAAACGCAGGTACCTATTGTTTTGTTCAAACTTAACGCTTGCTCCTGACCATTGCCTTAACGTAATGAGTAACTTACATTTGTATACGTATATAACTATTTTCGTTGTAAAATCTACGATAACAAGTGGGCTTGGTTATAATATTATCTGTTTGTTATATAAAAACGCTTAAAACTTACTAAGTAATATATAATTCATGAATTTTCTACTAAAGTGTGATTAAGTAAATGAAATATTACACTACACATTGAAATTGTCTACTTGATTCGCATTAGCTAAAGAATAGAATAACGTTATGTACTTTATAATAGTTTAAAGTTTTAAACTTTTAATAGTAGTTATGACAGCACAATGCACAAGCCGAGATGCACACCGAGTCACTCTGATATGACGTATCATCACACTTCGACACCAACATCGTCGTCCCATAATACCATGACAGTTACATAACAATCATGTAGCCATAAATGGATACAAGTCTCCATACCACATGCTAAATACAATAATTCATGAAGAAGTAGCGTAAACAATATTCATTGGAGATAGCTACGTGATAAACGAAGCGTGATTCACACATACGAAGACGTACATAGAGGTATAACAATATATTCTTAAGACTATGAAATACAACTAGTAATAAGGTATAATATAATATATAAAATGTGGATCAATTCTTGCGTTTAACAATATTGTCTTCAATAGCATTGCTCATATCCCAATTGCCAACAATTAGATCTAACATAGGACGACAGGATAATACCTTTTTCAATTGCAACGTTTACAAAACGCGGAATTTGTCAAATATTCACTTAATACCAATCGAATCACTTCAATTATCTTCATCGATTTATGGTATCGATAGTTATGGTCGAAACTCTCGATTTCAAGAACCGTTACAAGTCGTCTATACGCTCCATCCTAATATTGCTTTGAATTATTTGTCTTCCATAACAACTATGTAGTAATAGAGAATAGTGTTTATAAAATGTCCATACTGTACTGGTCTCGTACGAAGGTGCAGCGAGTGTAGAAAGGAGTCGGAGACAGAGAGAAACACTACAAGACGCGAGGCAACGCGCCTCGCGAATACCGAACGGGTTCGATCACAATGCAGCTCAGTTGATTCGTATTTTCATATTTATAATAAACTTATTGTAAAAATCTATCGTTATCATACATTAATCTATGCTTAATATTCTGCTTCATATAAGGATGAATTCAACACTATTTGAAAGAAAAGCCTTTCGAATAGATGCAGTTAACTGGCATTTTCAATATAATTAAAATTGGCATAAACACATTTCTCAATTTGGGTTACACCTTCACAATACAAGTCCATAGTTAGTTGTGGACCGGGTAATTAGTTCGTATGTCATTGTTATTCCCTAGCGTTACTGCTGCGGGCAACAGACGTGTAGTGAATATTAATAAGAATGCACCACTTGATTGTATCGATCAGAATGTTCAGGATTTTGTTCAGTAAACGTTGTTTTAAGTTTTCAGTACATCGTCTATTGTCCGATTTGGTTGGTCACCCTACATATCCCCAAATATTCCGGCAAATGTTTTGCGCAGATTTTTCATAGTATCTTCAGCGTCTTCCGTGAGCGCTGCACTGAGAGAGCCCTGTCGGGCAAATCCTCCGCGAGCAGGGGTGGAGCCCGCGCTAGGAGGGGCTGCAGTGGGAGCTGTGCTGCTAGTTGTGCTAGGCGCAGCCGATGCAGCAGACACGGTCGAAGCTTGGGACGCTGTCAACGGAAAATGTTACTTACTGCAATCACATCTGGTCATTACATCAAAAATGTTCAATGGTAGCAAAAATATCTGATTTAGAAGACACATCAGCATATCTAGTGCATCTCAAATACTACGTGTGAACAAAACAAGGAACTAAAGAACTCTAAATAGTAAATGATGATGTGGTATTAGTACATTTTTTACCCTGTGAATCGCGCCGAGTGAGAGGTGGTGGTGGCGGCTGTGACGGTTCCGCGGGTATTGGTGGAAGTGGGCGGTCAATGCTGGCGGCAGATGCTAGGGGCGCTGGTGGTGGCACGCTTGGGGGCCCAGGAGCCCCGACAGGTGGGGCTCGCTCCTCTGTCGGGGAACCTGCTGCAGAGCTGCCCGACACAGAGCTCCGCGATGTTGTCTTCGTTATACCGGGGCGACATACAGCCTGGAAATTAATAAAACAGGTTTAAAGGTCTTTGCAATTAAAGTACCTACTTGTGTTTCACAGAGAAAAAATGCTCGACTTTTAAGTATCTACGTTTTATGATTGTAGCATAAATTACTTCCTATCATATATTAAGTCAGTTGTATTTTATTGAAATAAATCTTTTAAACGCGGGCACAGCTTCCTTCTGTATAATTATTTCATTTCATACCTGCATGCGTTGCAACACTAGGTCGGCAAGATGGCGGCGATCTTCTTCCTGCGAGTCGCCCATGAAGGAAGTGGCAGAATCATTGAGCTCGATGATGTGCTCACGACCGTCTTTTCCCACAACCAACTCCAAAGCACACACTTCCAAACCGCCGAAAATCTCGCTCACCTACAATAGAACACGATTATAACAAGACCGTTGAAAATAGGTCCCCAAGCTTCCTGCTTCCTGTTATTCTGGACGATCTGCACGCATGCTGTTAATCTAGTATAATCATATGAGGGTCTAAGCAAGGGGGAGTTATTATGCTACTATTATTGAATTTTACCTTTATCGTAGTACACAACTGAGTAGATTCGTGAAAAAGCAGATTTCTTGCCTATAATTAATAATGGGTTTTACAAACTCACTGTACATATACAATTTACATGCACATATCTATACATGTTTGTTCTGTATTCTGAGACATATACTTTGGAACAGTTAACTAATCTATGAATACTGGTATGAATTTTATTTCTGTGTGGATAAATACAATAAAATTATTGCAATTAATAACATGCTAATATTATGCAGTGTCTGATAGCTAGGGATTTATGTTAAGTTACAATCAATTAAAGTATTTCATAAATAGTGGAACAAGATACGAACATTTCCGCGTGTGAATTAATTGATACTGAAAGTCGTAACTAACGTACATGATTTTTATTATAAATACTGAATTAATTGTAAACAGGTGCATGTATCGATTATGTTGATAGAGGAAACTGAATGACTTAGGGTTCCTGATGTGTTATTTTAGTAGTTTAGTAGGTAGTTGCAATCAAAACACAGATAAGTTCATTACGTACCTCGTCGATCCACATCTTATATCTGTCGTTCATGCCGATAGCTTCGAGCATCGCGGATCCCTGATTAGTTTTCCAATTTCCCGATATAGATTTGCGCCTGGAAAATATTTATGAGTTATTTATAGACGGCCATAACACCAAATGTGATATCACACTTCACACGTAATACCATTCTTAAATCCACGTAATATCGAACATCCGTTTGCGAACATTGAGAACGCCTGCACCGTTTTGTTTGTAATCAGGATTGCAGACTACTTTGATCTTTCTCGTAGGCGCCAGACTATTGCAGATATATATAGTGTAACGATACTCACATGAAAGCTTTGTAGTTGGTGCCGATTTTTTGTATATGGATATCGTACTTCGCGTCGATGTAGGGCTCCACGGTGCAGTAGGTGCCGAGCATGGCCACGACTCCGGCGATGTCCTAGAAGAACGACATTAGTAACAACAGCTTCTTACTACAATGAATCACAGAAACTCTTAAACTGTGTTACTCATCCCTTAAATATTTTACCTTGTTGTTTTCTTAGTAAAGTAGGACGAAGTTCGTGAGTTGCATGGTAATTCATTACGATATTATTTAACTGGGAGAGTGATGTGCATCGTTACCTGGAAGTCAGCCACCGTGTCCACTTTCACTTTGGCGACGCCGCTGTGCGCGTGCCCTATCTTGATCACCACCGGGAACTTGGGCGCCGTGACCTGCGACAATCACATACATCCGTTATACTCTTATACTATTATCGTGAACATTATTTTGACGACTAAAACCACCATCTATGTTACTATATAAAACTACAGAATATTATTGAAGCGTCAAGTTTTGCTTATAATTTCTCAAGCTGCCCTTACCATTAAGGGTTAAGATAAAAATCTCAGAAATACCAAAACAATCTATAAGTTACGAAGTATTATTTATTTCGATTCCGTAATTACTTGATGAATATCCAACTACGCATTCGCTATCGCTATCGTTCAACCATCGTTAATTTGATTTATGTCATGATTACCTTATATTGTATAATTTACATTTGATTTACTTGCAGCAAAACTAATTACCTACATTACTAACATGAACACAGTATGTAGGTAAGCAACAATTATTTGGCGAATTTCCCGAATCTCGAAAACTGTTTTTGGGAAATTTCCGCGCTGAACGTTCGCTAAAACAAAGCTCTATTTATAAGGGCGGGTTGTAAGCCGTGAATGTAATTATAGGTTTGTTATGAGCAAATCATAGTGCAACGTGTGTTGTTAGCGTTTCATAACCTTCAGTTAATTTTATGGAACCGATTGTAATCTTAATAGCTTGGCAGCACGGAATGTACATCAATGTATTGTCACCAGTTAATAATATTGTGTATTAATCCGCAGCAATGATTACAGTAAAAACTCTTTTATAGAATAAGCCGGCAAAATGAAATGGAATAGAAAAAATATCTAGTTTCCTCAGACGGCCGTGTAGGAAAAATAATTTCCTTTGAACCGAAACATTATTATTATATTTCTCGTTTTCCTCGCCTGATGTTTGTTTTATCGAAACTATATTTTGTCGTTTTCTTGCAACTATAATAATACTTGACGATGAGATTGAATTTTGGTTTATGTTACACGCATAGGTACTATGAGTGTGAGAGAATAATTACTTTTCATTATGTACATGTTGCAAGAGTTGGTTAAGAAATAAAATATCCAGCATACAGAAGAACATGACACAAATGTTTCTGAACAATAACTTCGACACAGACTATGAACCTACTAACAAAACGATTTGTGTCCGACGTAATGACACCACTGACGAACAATGTAACGATGCCTCCCAGGAGTGACCCACCGCCCGATCAATTTACAAACAAACAGTTTCCAAGTATCTACAAATAAGGGAATAACAGAAAGCGTCCATTATTCAAATTGAATGTTTTAAAATACAGCACCAATTTGAAAATATTCAGCAAATTAAAATAAATTGTTAGTGCTTCACTGTATAGCTTCCCGAATGTTTAACTTAGTTAAGCAATTATTTCACGTATTGTTTAAATCGTTCACAATATTGGTAATTATGAAAACAAGTAATCCAATCCACAAATAAGGCATTAGTGGTAATAACTGGAGACCGCCTTCCAGCTTGTGGTTACTTGCTTAACTGGAAATAGTATTTATTACTTAGTATTGACAAACCACATATATATGGTTATGGGAAATTATGAGTTCAACTTTGACTGCATGGGGGGACTTGTTTTTAATAAGGAAAGAAGCATCATTATTTTCTTGAAATTATTGATGGCAACCTTAATTCACCAAAACTGTAGAAAAATTTTTGTTGTTAAAATAAAAATAAAAAATATTTCTATATTGGGGAAGAACAATTATGATGTAATTTACTTTTTGAATGGACCAATAAGTTCCGTTCCACTAATTGAAAAAAACAATGACGCGCAACACTCATTAAAAGTGGACGACAAATATTTGCTCTCGATAATTAGTTGATAAAGTCGTCCATTTTTCGAGGTTCTTGAAGCAAATGTAAATATGCTATTTTATTACGTCAATCATTGCTGTATTCTACAACGTTGAGGTATTTGTAAATTATTATGTAAACGGTAATTGTTTCGTTCGGTGTGTTTATCCTTATTTTAAACTGGTGAGAAAGGTCTGCATTACGTCTCGGGATAGTATTAATGTGGTGTCAATCACAGTTAGTGCAGCGGGCGGATGGCGAGCGCGGCCGAGGCGTCGCCGTGGGCGGCTCACCATCAAGTGTTTGACTGTTCGCTGTTCCAACAACACGCACTTCCTTCTCTGTATCGATGACGCACGCGTTCTTCAAAGAATTCTCTTGTACACTACTATTTTTGGTCCGTCTCCGCCAGTATCGTGACATTCACGCATAGTTTAGGGATTTAACAATTTGATCGTATCCGTTCGTTTTATTTGCGGACCCTTAGTCAGGGTGCCGTGGCTTTACCGTATTTGGTTAAAACAATATGCGTTGGCCTGTATATCTGTGGTTGTTCTAGATGACTAATTATTAGGGATGGATGGAACGTGTTTGCTTTGTGAGTGTAGCTGATGGGTAAAGAATTTCTATGACGGATTAGGTCTATGAGCAATTTTCCTTGTTAAAGGATTATTATCTTCATAATTATTATATGAACTATTGTTCTATCTGTTGTTTCACGAGTATTGCGGTAAAATGCATGTATGGTATGTTAAACAATTGTTGTTTCAGATCAGTAATTACTGAAGGCGCGTTTGTTTCATGATAACGTAAATATACGTCTATTATATTGCTCTTTGACGATCTAAATAGAAATCTTCCAGTCCAGTAGACCGTGTTATGAATCCTAGTAATTGAATTCCTTGGCGCTACTGTTGAATGACGTTCATTTAAGCGGCATCATTTTATCTGAAGTATCGGCTGATCAATCTAGCTGATAGCGGTGTGGCGATTGCGGGAGCATTCAATTCAAATATCGGTGTATAGGTGCTGACTGCTGACAATAGTTCTTAATGATCATAAACACCCGAGAAATAATATCGCACGCTTCTCGAAGGTGTATTTATTGTTCGCAAAGGACAAGACAATAATAATTGTCATTTATCACTGTAATTGCCGCCTTTGAAGTTTGATATTATCTTACCGCCTTGTATGAATGCGATCATAAATCAGTACTATGCGATTGGTGCTACATCAACGAAATTGAATGGCCACCTCTGTCATCTGTACCTGTATTTCTGTGATAAATCCGGTAATGATATCATTGGTATCAATCAGATACGACAAGCACGACTTTAATCTTGGAACAAGACTATCTTAATAGTTTTGGATCATGCATTACCTGGTTTTGTATATCAATTTGATATCTTAAAAATGAAGAAACTTATTATTGTTTCTTGGGCTTCCTCAGTTAGGAAATTCAATAACTTTAAGCTAAAGGCAAATAATGTATCATTTAGCCTAGCAGACTGGTTCATACATTACAGAATACGCAGTAATTATATGATTTTGATCTCTATTGGCTCTGTTGACCTCACTCAAGGTGAGAGATGTGTTCATCGACTGTTACGTCTGCGATCATTATCACTTTAGTGCAGCTTACATTCTCTAATGTACCGACATACTGTGTAATAGGTGTTAATCAAACAAAAAAATGCGGCGCCAGACTACCAGGTACTTTATTCGTGTGCTTTTTATAACGACTGCTAGTCCAATCAGGATCTGGAAGCTCAACAATACGTTTCTTTGAAATATGCAAATTTAATAGTAGATTTTTTATAAACAGCTTCTATTATACATACAATTTGCTTACCGATTTTTGATTGGTCAAATTATTGAAATAAATCAGTTCTTGGGGCTGGCATCATTGCTTTGCGATTAAAGCCCTTTATCAATAAAGATTAAAAAAAACAGTTGTTAGTGAATGTTGTTAGCATTGTTTCAATAAAAAAAAATATTAACACAAAGTAATGATGATTGAAAACCGATACATAGAATTAAAATCGTAATTATAATGGTGTGCATAGTCCTTAAGAATCATATTTGTGTACTGTAAGTATAAAGTGAGATCATAAATGTGTTTTGATCTTTGGTTTTATGAGCAAGTATGGTAAGCAGATTAATTAAAATGCAGTAGCATCCTTCATCATCAATTAATACCTGCAGGGGTTAATGGCAACAAGGTTGGAAACCAAGTTTTATTGTGCAAGTAAAACTTCAATTTCAATAGAGAAATGTCACACCAATTACGACCTGTTCCAATGTTGCTAAAGTCATCACCATAATCTTACAGTCAGTATCAACTTTAAGTAATGTGTGAATGTATTAAACAATAATAATATAACTTTATGATACAGGCTTGGCTTATGGCGGTTACAGACTAGGAACTATTATTGCTCAAGATATGTAATTATGTTTTAATTACATTACAACTAAACCAAGCGTACTTGGCTATTACAAGTGATGACCATTGCGGTCAAGTATTAGTCAAAATCGTACATAAAGAAGACAATTGTTTTATTTATTTTAAAATATTCGTGTGATGTATAGGTACATGATTGTATGACCCAAACTCCCATTCAAGTCGACAAGTTTGTATTCTCAAAGAAAACAAATGCAAATCGCTCAAAGTATCAATTCAACAGGAAATTATAACAACAATAAAGATAAATGAATAGGACATAGTTCAATTAAAATAAGTGTCATTTTCCTGACCTGACTAGTGCCTGCATTATTTATGAATTACGCATTTTTATTAACTGAAGGTTTACAATAACGGTTCATAAGCTTGGCAATGTACTGAGAAATCTATTTGCATTGAACCTGATATGAAAAAGGAAATAATTATAAAAGCAATTTTTTATTCAAAATGTCATTGAATAAAATTAATAGGTCGTAACCACGAAGTTATAGTTATTTAATTACTCCACGCAGTACAAAAATTTTTGGAAATACGCATTTCAACAACAAAGGGACATCATGTGGAATTAAATACCTTGTAATCACAATGGTTTGGTGTTTGAGGATTCATATACTAAGTCCAGAAATACGTAGAAATATGAAGACCTTACTTAGTCATACTATGGGAATTTGTAATGAATATTTGGCTATACCTTACACTGGAAAGCCCATGTTTTGGCACCATAGATATAAAAATGTCATGCCTAGAAGTCGTTAAAATTCGACGAGTCATAACATTTTCTGG